GCGCCGAGTGTTTGGCTCAACGCATTGGCGTCTGTACGGGCAATGCCGCGTTGCAGGGTGACGCCACTAAAGGAGGGGCGGCGCGTCTTGACGCGGCAATTGGACGTGGTATTGCACCCTCTTGACGCCCACGGCGTGGATGCACCTTTTTTACCTGCGTACGATTTCTTTGCGGCCACGCAGGTGGTGCGTCGCGTGGTCGTGACTTCAGTTCTGGTGGCGTGGTGGAAGCGGCTCGTCATGCGAGGGGGAGGGGCGGTTGCGGGGTCTTCAACGGCTGCCACGTTGTGGGTTCACGGCGAGGCCTCAGTTTTTGTAGATTGCTTTGTGCACCAATTGGTTTACTGGTGTGGGTGGGTGGGTGTTTGGTGGGCTTCCTCCGGTGTGGGGGGATGCGTCCGCTGAGCCAAACTACGATCTCCTTGTTCGGCTCTTTCCTAATGTGAGGAGAAGGAGCCAAGACCCCCACCCCCACCATGTGAATTCTCCTCGCGGACGTGCCGAGTCATAAGATGCTGCTTGCTCGGCTGATCGCTGCATTGACCTTCGTGAAATGTGAGTTTTGGAGGCCCATCCAGTACTATGCGCCCTGCCTCACGCAGGCGCTGGCCAAAAGCCGCTTGCAGGTCTCACGTTTGCGTCGTTACTTGAGGATTTGAGAGAAGTCCGAGCCGTCGCGCACACCGCTGCGATACCGGGGTAGTATGCACACGCACACGCCCATTTAGATGAAAGGGAGGAGCACCTACCGCGCTTCCTTTCCTAAATCCATTTTCGTATAAGGAAAAAGTAAGACGATTCCTTTTTGTACCTCCTTGCTAGCGCCACATGCCTAGGGACCCGTTTTCGCGGCGGTGTGCGCAGGCAGGGGAATTCATTGCAAGGTCCTTCGTGAAGACGGGTGCGCGCAGGCGACGTTGCGCCAAGCTTGTTGATTCGGCGCCAGTGAGGAACACGGGCACGAAACAAAAATAGAGAATAAAATTAAGAATACTTTTTCTTTTGTAGTGGGCCTTTTTTCTGATGCACTGCACCGCTGGCAACGGCACTTGTGTTGCTTGTTGATGCTGCTGTGCCGTCGCTCTTCCGTTCCGTTCATTTTAAAATCGACGCTCGCGCAGCGAACCCCGACTACCGCCGCTGCTCCGCGTAGTGGATTGCGGCAACTGTGGGAAGCCGCTGCGACTTCAGAAGCAGAAAAAATTTTCCAAAAAGTTTGAGTGCTTCATTGTTGTCGTAGGGTGACTGTGAAAAGAATTCGCTCGAGTGGTGGGGGGCTTTCGGGCCGACCCAGTCGTTTTTTTTATTATTATTTTTTATTATTTTTAAAAATTTTTTTTTGGGGGGTGGGGGGTTTGGTTTTGCCCGCGCATGCAGCACCACGCCGTGTGAAGAGGTTCGCGGCGTTGTAGCGCTATGCGCCGCCCTCGCCTTCTCCCCTGCAGACCGTTCAGGCACTTAACGCGTGCGGAATGTGTCGGGGGAGCTTCCGCTCACGACGCGACGGATGGGGTCGACGGCCGTCGCGTGTGTTGTTGCATGGGTGAGAAAGAATGCGCCGGAAAAACAGGCGCACCGCCTTCCTTCTCCTATTTGCGGAACGCCAAACTCCGTTCCGCCACCGCGGTCTCGTGTAATTCCGATGCGTCGTATACACCGTTCGCGCGGCGGGCGAGCACCGCGACGAGGAGACTGCCACAGACAGCGAGGCCATGCCGTGGCCAAAGCAAGAACAACCAACAGCAACAAGAAGGGCGGCGGGAAGCTTGTTTCCACATGAGCAAAAAGGGCCAACAAGAAGCGAAGCTTGAGTACTTGTTTCCTTTTTTTTTATGCAAAAAGGGAGCTTGGGGTCAAAATGCGCAGGCAGTAGGCAGAGCGAGGCTGTAGAAAGACCTCTCCGCGGAAATCGCAGTGGGTCTGCTCAGATCCCCACCCCACCACCACCACTACCACAGCCCGCAAGGAATCTACGCCGATAGCGGAGCACTCAGGGAAGCTGATCGCTTTTCTTTTCTTTTTCCCGCACCCCGCGGCCACATACAACCCCGCACGGCGGCCATTTAATTTTTGCGCGAGGGGGCGCACTTCGTCGTCAGTTGCCTTTCTCTCACTTTGGCTGAGACCGGCGCCGCCTTCTTTGCTGGCGGAAAAGGAAGGCAACGCGATACAAGTTCTTTTTTCTTTGCCGTTCTCCTTTGTACGCAGCCATCCTGCCATTCTCGCGTTTTGCTGCGCTTTGTTGATTTTTGCTTCTTACCCCGCCACTCTCAGCGGCGACGGCAAAGCGTATCTGCCATTTGCACGCGTGTTTGCCCACAAGCACGCTCAACCTTTCCCAGCGCATCGAAGCAGAAGCGCCTCCGCACCCCGGTTGCTGCTTTGCAGGCGCCATGGCCTTTGCGTAGCGCGGTGGAAACGCCCCCTCTCACCCACAACGGGGGGCCACCGCACGCATGGGCCCAGCATTTGTTCTATTGAATTGCTTGGTTGTTTTTTCCCCGCATTTCGGAAAGAGAACCAGCCACACCACCAACCGTTCAGATCGATAGATGGCCCATTGGGGGCAGGAAGGCTTCATCTCGGGCGGGACCTTCCCGGCGCCGCCGGAGAGGGAGAAGCGAGGCCGGACCGAATACTTTTACCCCGCCCCCGCGAGCTCATGGAGGCGGGAGACGCATGACAGAACCATCGCGCGGGAGGCACCAGCTGCCTTCCACGCCAACAAGCGGCAGGATTTGAACCCGGCGCAGCAGCCCACCGGGAGGGACCAGCACCTCGCGGGTGCCAAAAGCAAGCGCCGCGGCGCAGAGGCAGAGGGGGGCGAGAATAAGCTGGCGCCCGGCCGCCCGGCGGAGCAGCCAAGCACTGGCGACAGTAAGGAAAGAAATATGGACGAAGCGCGGAAGGCCACTGCAGCCGACCAAGGGCCTCCCTCAGCAGAGGGCGCGTGCGGCCACGTCGCCCTGCAAGAACTTTTGCGGCGAATTATAGCTCTTGAGTTTTCCGGGCGGTGTACGCAGCGGTCCATCGCCGTGGTGGTGGCCATCTGCGACACACTCTGCCACACCCCCGTGGCGGTGGTAAAGGTGATGGAGGTGCTAGACGAGTGCTTCGCAGACGCCGTTGAATCGAAACAGCAACAGCAACTTTTAAATTACTGGTACGTAGCGGACGCCGTCATGAAACTTTTCCGCGATCGGCCTTCCATGCTGAACGCGGTTGTTGTTGCTTTACCGCACCTCCTCCTAAAATATGTGCCCTGGAAAAAAAGCAAACTGGCGGAGGCGTCGTGGGTGCGGCGCGAAAGCGATGAGCACCGTTACGAGCAGTTATTCCTCACCTGGGGCCGCGCCGTGCCAAAACAGCTTCTTGATGAAATATGGTCCTTGTGGGAGAGCGGCGCCCTCCCAATAGAGGCGCCCGCCCTCAATAAGCACTAGGAAAACCAAGAAGGGGAGAGAACGGCGCGCCTGCAAAAGCCGCTGCCGCTGTATGCTAGAAGCGCGGAAGCATGCAGCGCACGCTGCAATCACCCACCCACCCCCCGCCACCTCTACCCATCCAACGCCTGCACCCAAACACGCACTGTAATAGGGAAAGCGCGCCCCCCTATGCTTCTTTTAAAGCAAAAAAAAAAAAGCGCAGAAACAAGCCCAACGCGCATGTGTGTCAGCACTGAATTTTACTGCGTTGCGCTGCGGGGGTTCGATGTGACGGGTTTGTTTGTTAATATGCGAGCGCTTTTTGTTGTACGCCATTGCTAGCTTTTCCGGTCGTAGCGCTGGTGGGGCGCGGGCCCCGGGCCACCACGCCGCAGCGACGGGCGGGGACGCCTAGAGTAACACCTTTTTTTTCCTTTTCTTTTTTCTCGTTTTGCACACATTCCGCCAAACATGCCCCGCCAGCCATCTTCCCCCCTGCGCCTCACAGCCCGCGCGCGACGCATCCCGACGCGTATTCCCAGCAGATGCCCTTCTAAGAATGGCGTTTGGGAGCGCGGGGCGGGCCCCCCCAGCGCGCCGCCGCAAGCACAGAGGGGGGGGCGGCTTGCTCCACACGCGCCCCGCGCGGGCCTGCGTTCTTTGGGCCCGCGGCGCGCCAAATAGCCGCCAACAAATAAAAAGAAAGGGGGCCCCGCCGGAATCTTTGGGAGTAGGCCGCGCGGCATGTTTTTTTTTCGACGGCGCTCAGAGAAATTCTTCGCTGGCGGCGCCGCCGGCCGCCCTCTGCGCGCGCAGTCCTAAGAATTGGGCGGCCGCGCGCCCGCCGCTAAAGGCATCCAGCGGCGCCCGCAAGAAACGCCCAGAAGCCCCAGCCGCGCGGCGCCCGCGCCGAGGGAAGGCGGCAAGCTACAAACGCCGTGGCCTTTTTGCTTTCCTTTCTTTAGCGCGCAGCGCCTCCATTCTTACCGCTGCTTTGTTCTGCGACGGGGGTTTCCGATTTGCCGCGCGGGGCGTAAGCCGGGGGCCCACCGCCGGGCGGCTGTTCTTACCGCGCCGCCCCCACCCTCCGCCAACCCCGAAAGCCCGGGAAGACCTTATTTAAGAATCAGGAAATGGCTAGGAGGGGGCGAAAGTTGGCGTCGACAAACCACCCGGAGGCACGCGGGCGCGCGACAGCCCCAGCTAAGCGCGTGAAAAAAAAACGGTGGCCACGACAGCGCCGGCGCCCGCGAAATCAGCGAGCAAGGCGGCCCCCAAGCGCCGCCAAAAAGCAGAGCTCGCAGGGCGCCTCCTTTCTGGGGGGCGGGTGGGGGGGACCTCGGCTGCTGCCGGGCCGGTGCTTTCCCGCCCGGGCTCCAGAATCTGCGGGTCGTTTCCCCGGGGGTTCCTGGTCGCACGGGCGGCGCCCGTGCTGGTGGGGGCGCGGCGATACCGTCGCAGCCGTGGGGAAACGGCCGCCCAACAATATCAGCGGGCACCGCATATAAAAAACGTGGCTAAAAAATGTTGAAGTTCCAATTGTATCAGCGCCCCTTTTGTGCGGCACGCCTGCGGAGGCCGAGGCGGAGGCGGCTTTCAAAAGCAACGCGCGCCCACCAGCCCCCGAAGGCCGAAAAACCCGTCTTTATAAACACGAAGTAGCCCCGGCCCCTTTAGAGTTACTTTCTTTTTTTTATGCCCCCCCTCTCTTCCCACCTTCCCGAAAGAAAGGGGCGGACCGAGCCGTTTTTTAAAAAACCAAACAGCCCAAACTCCGCCGAAACGCAATACGCCACTATGTGTCTTAGTTGCGGCTTCCCGTGCTTTAGGGTGCCTCTCAAAAACGCGGCGTTGGTTTGTACCGCCATGGGCGCCCCCGCCCCCCTGGGACCGCGAGGATCTTGCTACCGCACCGCCTGCCCAAAATTTTTTCATAACCAGCACCGCACTCGCGAACTGCCTTCTAGTTAATCGGACTCCATGTGAAAATATCACTCTAGAAAAAGCGGTTGCGTTGCTGCACCGGAAGCGGGGGTGCGCGGGCTCCATGTAGAAGAAACCCGCCGCCCAAGCCTTTCGTGCAGACGTGGAGCCCCATGCGCTACGCCAGACACGAGCCAAATGTGCCTTTAAAGTGGCGCACGCGCCGCCACCAAGCTAATAGTAGTAACAAGAATAATTTCAACGCATCGCATATATAAATAACAATAGTGTGCGGGCGGCGCCTTGGCAGAAACGCCCCCCCGAATTGTTCGGCCGCTCCTGTAGAAAGACCCGGGCGAGGCCGCCCGACCCATCCCTGTCAGCAGAGCCGCTCTGAAGAGGAAAATTAGCCCGCAAAGTCCAAAATATCATCTTTGGCCTGGTCGGCCTGCATGCGCAAAAACAAGCTTTTTTCTATTGCTGCGGGCCCGGTTGGAATATCCGTGTTGATGTTTGTGCCTCTTTGAGAGCGCCGCAGCAGAATGGATCGCCATATTTCAATGTGTTTCGTTCATTCCTGGCTTCAAGCGGGACAAAAGAGACACATTCACATATACGAATGCAGGCGCCGGCGGTGCCCAGCAGAAGTCGGCATCGCAAGGGCGTGCGGGCAAATACGGCGGGCGCCCGCAGCCTATTTCCCCGCAAAAAATGCTCATTTCTAAACAAATTTATGATGCTTCACTTAAATCAGCGCATCTAGAAAAGAGGCAGGCTGGGGGCGTGTGTTTCCAGATCTCAGCCCAAATAGAGCACGTAGCGCGGAAATTTCCACGAAAGCTGGCGGCCTCCTTCTTGCCGCCCGTTGCGGGCGGGTAGGTGGCGCATACCGAGCCCCCAACCCCGCGAGGATCAGGCCGATCAAGGCTACCGGCCAGTCAAGCTATAGAACTGTCTCGCAAACCCACTCACTTCGCCGAAGGAAAATAGAGCCCTGCGGCAGCGCCGGCGCCAATATTGTTCGAATGGTCTTTGCGTTGGGGCCTGGGCGAGGGGCCTTGGGCGTGCCGCAACGCATTTGCCCTGCCAAAGTGCTCGGCAGCCGCGCTGCAGCAAAACCCTTAGCGGGCCACACGTTTTCAGTTTGGTTCCGTAGCGCTTTCAATTTCATAGAGGTAAACTACAACATTGTTTGTGTTCGGCGTTTCGGCGAAGCGTTTTCGCCCAAGGCAGCCCTCTGTTGCGCACAGTCGGGAGCGGACCGCGCCCTCATTCTTTGTATATTTTCTGACTACTTTCAATGCTCTATCCAAACAACGCCCTCCCTCTCTTAGAACATAACCATCCAACTGCGGCGCGCGACATTTCATGCGGCCCTTGGTGGTCGCCCCCCTCCCCACTAACAAGGTGAGGCTTTACCACCGAGCCGCCAGAGTTCGCAAACAACATTTGCAGAGGCAATCAGTGTTTCAGCGTGTGCGTGCCGATGGGTTAATTTTAGAGCGTTTTGCTATTTAGGTTTGGGTGAGAGGTTTTCTTTTAGTTGAATTCTCGCGTGCTGAGTGTGGGTGCGTAAGGGTGTGGCGAGCATCTACGCCTATTCGGGGCCAATCGAAGGTTGCCTCCGGGCCCAGAGGCGCAAACACTATGGTTCAAAAAAAAAACACACACATACACGCCTTACGGTTCGTATGCTCTTCGGGCATTCGCAACTCTCAAAAACACTAGAAGGAGAAGCGCGGAAGGTTGCATATAAAGGGGCCTTGGGATAAAATATAAAGGGTGGCGCGCGGCTCCGTTATCCCACGCGGTTTTTCAGACCCCGCGCTTGCTAAAAAAAGCGGCGCCATACCAGAAGCAGGTCTTTGCCAATGCTCGATGGGTGGGTTTGGGCGCAAGCGTGCATCGCGAGCGCTTCCATAGTCTTTTAACTCCTTACCTGTGCCCAATTTAAAAAGTTTTGGTTTAATTTGCCTTCTCGCGCGAAGTTTTGCAACGCGATACTGGTGGGCGAAGGTCGGCAAAGGAAGTGCGATTGCAGATTCTGCGCTTCCCGACCAGTAAGCGGCCCCAATCATAAACCGTTTAGCCGGCGGGCGCGGGGGGCGCCCTTGGTGAGCTCTCGGTGGCGGGGCCCAGGCACTCCTCGCTTCGCCAGGCCGCGTCCTTTCCTCTTCGTATGAGCTTGGCTTGTTTTGGGCGGCGGTGCGCCCTGGCGCCCGTAAGGCCCAGCAGTCGTCCGCGGAATGCGGGGTATCGTTTTGGCGCGCGTTTTCCCCGGCGGCCCCAAGGTCTGGCGGCCGGGCCCCGGCGGTGGCAGAGCGCCGCGGAATCATCGACTGGGGCGAGTCAGGGGGGCCGAGCGCGCGACCCCCAAGGTCGGGCTTGGTTGCCGCGTCGGAGGGGGTGCTAGACCTCAATTCGTCGGGGGTCGGGGGGAGGGTCTCGTCTCGCTGGGGGGCGGTGGCGGATATGGGGCCGATCGTCGGCAAGTCAGTGTGCGTTTTTGGTGGTGCGTCTTCTTGAATTTTTGGAAGGGGGCGGTCTGATTCAGCAGGCTGTGTGGGGCCTGGTTGTGTGGCTTTTGGTGGGTTCCGCTTGGGCAATGTTTGCAGGATGTGGTGGAGGGGCGGCTATTGTTTATTGCGTAACGTAGGTTTTTTTTTTATTGTATGATGTTTGGAAGTACGCTCGTCACTATTCTGTGGCTGCATGCGGATGACTTGTGTAGCACTGTAGTTGAGTGAGGAGGGAAGTAAACCGTTCGTATTTGTTTATCGACACATGGTTACGTTAGTGTTGTATTTTTTTTCTTGTTTTTTTTACATAAAATTTAACATAACACCTCTCTGGTTGGAGTTACTTTCCTTAAGTTATTTATTTATTCTTATTCTACAAGGCGTGTTTTTTTTGAATTTCGTTTTCTCATTTTAGCGGTTGATGCAAGCTTAATTAACAGGGTCAAATTGCCTATAACTCTCATTCCTATTCCTACCACCACCATTATTATTATTAATAATAATAATAACAATTAGATGATAAATTATTATTATTATTATTTTCTTCTGTACGCATCTTGAACCCACGTGTTTGATGTTTATTAGTATGAATTGAGGTACCGTAATGTGTGTTTTTCCATCAATTTCTGTTTGTCTTTTCTCGTACAGCGTAAAGTGAATTTATCTTCTGGAGACGTAGTTACATTATATATATATATATATAACATAAATGCGACGTATCTCCTCTTTGAAGGAATATCTCTCTTTAAAGGAAGAGGCTATAAAAGGATTGGGTCTTGTGGTTCACTTCAGTGCTGCTTGGTGTGAACCCTGCAAAGAGGTACGGAGGGTGCTGGAGGAGTACGCATCCCAATACAGCCAAAAGGTTCTTTTTGCCGAGGTGGATGCAGAACTTTCCAATGATATTTGTGAGTCCGAAGGTGTGGAATGTGTCCCTCTTATCACATTTTTCAGAACTTCCTCACAGGAAAAGGCAGAGGAGCGAGTTGCTGACGTGGTTGGTGCCAAATTTGACCAGATTGAAATGAACATGGTTTCTTTGTATGGAAATGGCAATGATACTCGAGAGTCATTCTCTGACCTTAATGAGTACCTAAAGTACCTAACGTCTCGCAAAGGTATCGTTGTCTTTGTTACGGGCACCCCGTCGAGACCTCGTTGCGGGTTTACAGGGAGACTTCTAGAAATGTTTCATGAGCTTGGAGTAAAATACATTTACTACGATGTTTGGGCGAGTGAAGAGGTTTGCGAGGGGCTCAAAAAGTACTCGGAATGGCCAACGTTTCCGCAGGTTTATGTTGATGGGGAGCTAATCGGAGGATTTGATATATGCTCACAGCTCAAGGAGTCTGGTGAGCTGAAGACTGTGTTAAAAATGTGATGCTTTTTTGATTGGATTTCCATATATATATTTTTTATAATCTGCGTGATTCTTTTTTCTTTTCCTGTTTTGCTTTAACACATTTATCGGGGTGTGTTTTCCATTTTTGTGACGCTTGTGGTTCTTTTGATTCGTTTTATTACCTATTTCCCCCTTTTTTTTCTTGTGCCTTTTTTTTTTTACATAGGTTCTTCTATAGATGATGTGGTCCTGATATTTTTTTTTTGTATCTTCCTTAGCTTTTGTTTACCTACATATTTCTTTAACCTTGCTCTATATTATGGGACTCACTGTTGTCCATTTTGCAGGACATAGTTAGGCACGAATTCTTTTTTTTTAAATAGTTATTTTTTTTTCCTGAGGTCGCATGGGATTGAATTTGTGGAACCTCAAGTGTCGTCGATTTATTTTGTTTTTGCTATTGCTACAGGAGGAGGCAGAATGGATACAATGAAGTTTTTTTTTGGCTTGCCTTTGTGTGGATTGACATGCCCAACAACTGGAGGTGTTACGTTTCGTTTTCCATTGAAGGGGTCCCTTCATTTCTCCTGGAAAGTGATTTCCTCGTCACGGTGACTGTTTGCATGATCGGCAGGGTTAAGGGGGGGCTGGGTAGACAATGAAGGTGGATGGCAAGGATAACTGTGTCCTCTAGTGTTGCGCCACTTCTGAAGCATGAGTCGTGAACGGTATGAGGGATAGCCTTTCCTTTGTTTTTAGTAATAAATTTTTTTGTGCGGGATGAAATCTGACTTATTTAGAAGATATGAAAGAAAAGTGGTAGCGAGTTTTTTTTGTTACTGCATAACTTTGCAGAGGAAAACAAAAACAATGAGTTTTTGTTTTATTATTATTTTTTTAATCCATATTTGAACTTTTTTTTGTGTGGATTATTGAGGCAATAAATTCTTGAGTATTTTATTACTGAGTTGGGTAACTGGAAGGGAATAAAGTTCATCCTTCATTTATTTGTATTATTACTGGCTTACGCGATATATATATATTGTTTTATTGCCTTTTCTTTTTCCGTTATATATGCTAAAATATATGAATACACGCATATATCCTGTGTATCTTGCATTTGAGGTGGTAGTAACGTGATGCCTAGTTTTCACATGAAGACTGTGACAGACTGCCTGAAGTCTCTAGTGAGCGAGGTGGTGAAGAAACTTCGGGAAACCCCGATTTTCTTTTGGATATACATATCTGTATTATTGTATATGACCCGCAAGCTTACATATCAGTACGGCCACAGTAAGAAGAAGCTCAATATTAGAGGCCAGTCCGTGTATGTGGATCGTGCTGAAGAGGCTATTGCTGAATGTATTATTGACCCTGCCACAATTAAGGAGGATTTTTC